AGAGAGAGAAGGGTAGAGAGAGAGGGGTAGAGAAAGGAGAGAAAGAGGAGAGAGGAGAGAGAGGGGACAGAGGGGGGAAGTGGGGGAGAGAGGGAGAGAGAGAGAGTTGTGATAAACTCCATATGGGTGGGAATCAAGTCTATCTTGCATCCCCGGAGATCACAGACCCAAGTATCTGAATTAAACCCGAGGCCGAGGTCATTCCTAATTTCAAACAAAGCAGAGAGTAGTCCTCTTTGTCCCCACATCACTCCCCGCAAAATTAAACTGTACACCAGAGCAATCGCAGTGTGCCCAGAAGGAATGAACCACCTCCTGCCTATCTGATATTCCTGGACAGGCGAGGGACCCAAGGGACTGCCAACCTGACTTGACCTAAGGAGCTCAGTCACAAACAGGTAGAGTAGGAGGGCTGGAAAAGGTATTCACTAGGGCGATTTCACCAAGAATTCAGAAAGCCTCAGGCAGGAGAGGCAGGACAGGACGCTCCGCGAAGGCTCTGGACAGTCCAGGGCCGCGTCTGCTGGTTGCCTGGCAACAGGCGCCTCCAGGCAGGGCCTCTCTCACTTCCAGCGGGAGGGGGCGGGGAGAAAAGGCCGTTGGTCTAAGTCCCTTGCTCTTTCCAAGCCACCACCCGCCCCGCCACCCTCCAGTCTGCGTCCTCTGCCTGGCCAGCCCCGCTTCAAGAACCCGCCGCGCTCGCAGACTTACTAACCAGAAAGCCCAAAGGGTGAAATTTTTGCAGCTTACCGCCAGAGCCACAGAGAAGCCGGCTCCGCGGTGGCCCCAAATCCCGACGCGGATTTGGAGCGGACTCACTCACCTGCGCTTCCCCTGCCCAGAGAGAGAGAGAGAGAGACAAAGCCCGGCCCGAATCCACGGCACTTGTGTAATTCCTCGTCTAATTGTATTCGATTTAACATATTTCCTAGAGCGCCTATTCATGCCCAGCGCCCAGATGGATATTTCAAGGGGAAAAAAATTTAAGCTTATGCTGCAATATCTTTTCTCTAGGAGCTTGCACTTATTTAAACAAACAAAAAAGACTGCGATATATTATATAAAGATATATAGATATTAGACATAGAAATAGATATTCCTCCAAATGTGTGCACAAATATACGTACAGATCATGATGTACATAATCTCATATACACACAGAGTGCCAAAAAAATATATGCACATTTTAAGAAAGGACAAACTATTAAAATTGTAATGCTCAGTAAGATAAATACAAGTCACGTTTGACTTCTGCAATCACAAAGGTGCTCATAGTGGTTACGTTACCAGCAGTGTCCAGACACTTCTGATTACGGTGTGAGCATCTCTTAAAATGTGTATACATTTTTTTGTCACCCCCAGTATGTGTGTGTGCATGTGTGTATATATGTGTGTGTGTGTGTGTGTGTGTGTGTGTTTATATGAATAATTACAATTTAAAATGATATAATGGACAGGATGTAATGGCTTACTCCTGTGATCCCAGCACTCTAATAGGCTGAGTCAAGAGGATCGCCTGAGGCCAGGAGTTCGAGGCTGCAGTAAGCTAGAATAGTGCCATTGCATGCCAGCCTGGGTGACAGAGTGAGACCTTATTCTAAAAATAAAATAAACTAGGACACAGACTTAGCATTCAGAAAACCTCCATTTAACTCTTTACTCTAAAAATTTTTTTTTTATATTTCCTCTGTACACAATGTGGGCATCAATTTCTCATCCATAAGGGGAAGGGACTGGTTTGAGATATTTCTAAGGATCCATTCCATTCTAATATGCTATAACTTTCCTATAAGACCCAGATATTCAAATCAGAAGTACAATTTTAGGAAGGTTAATCTAGTTCTCCTCCCACATAATTATGCTATTTTTCTAACCTGTAGCAACTTTTCAAAATTAGTTCCTCCCAAAGTATATGTAGGGAAATGTGCATATTAGAGCCAGTTTGGAAGTGAAAATACAAATAAATTCTTAAAGTATAAAAATAGTGAAGTCAATGGGTATCATGTAATTACTCTCTCTGTTTCTCTGCTATACTTCACAAAATTCATCTACCCATAATTTCCACATAGAAAACAAAAGCAAAAGTAAACTGAAAAAAAGACCATAAAAATGAAAAAGAAAACTAAGCTTTAACTTTTTAAAACTTATTAAAAACCTTACAAATTCTGGTGCCACAACTAACTTTGGTCACTCTACAAATAGATATTAAAGAAAATAATATGCCCTTGTCCATTCCTGGTGCTTAGACTTTGCATACGTAAATTATTTCAGTATTTCTGAATACAGCTGCCTAAATATAGTCTTAAAAACACATTTATACAATTCATAAATTCTGTTAAAACATCTGTTATAAGAACAATAATCATGAATTATATGTTGACTATATATATTGCACTTTTAACCAAATTTTAAATAATTGTTATATTAATTTCTGTTGCTATTATAGTCAATTAATTTCTCTATATACCAAATGAAACTAAATTAGATATATGTTGTATATTATTTTTCAGCTCCAAAGTAGTTTGCATTTGAAGCTCAATTTTTACATTTATTTTCATTTTCCTGTTCATTCATTAATGCATACAACAAACATCCACTGAATACCTACTACCTGAAAAACTTTGATTGTACATTTTCATTCATTTGTTCATTCAGTCTTTCATGTATTCAACAAACATTCACTGAACACTATATCTGCAAGTATATGTACTGTGAGGAAAAGTAAAACATAAAGGCCTACTTAATAATGACTTTTATATTATTAAGTCAAAACTATTGAGCCTCTCATATATATATATGCATATACATAATGACAAGTAAGATATAGCTTTTGCTCTCAAGAAGCTTACAATTATATACAACATTGCAAGAAAGTTAAAGAGTGCTCATTACTTCATTTATTCATTCAATACATTTTTATTGAGGGTCTAATGTTTCAGTATCTGTTCAAGGTGCTAGAGATATAGCAGGGAAGAAAACAAAGCCACTGTTGAGGTGAAAGTTGCACATCTAATAGATGAGACAGATGTTAAACAAGTAAATAACATAAATTCAGGTAACAATGAATGCAATGGAGAAAAATATAGCAGATTAAATGGATAGACACAATGGAAAGACTTCACTGAAGGGACCTCTGCAAAAAGCGTTGCAGCCAAACAAACAAACAAAAACATCAAGTGCAAAGGAGCTAAATAGAGAGCATCCTTGTCAATTTGATGTATGTGGCTGAAGCAGAGAGAGCAGGAGAGAATGCAGGAGAGGGGCAAGAGTTAGCCATGGTCAGATTACATAATGCCTTGCAGGCCATACCGAGGACCTCAGATTTTTTATAGTGGCCCCCACAGTCAGTGAGTCAATACCTTGAAATCTTTCTCTCTCTTTCTGTGTGTGGGGGGGAGTGAGAGTATTTCTCTATATAGCTATATCTATACACACACACACATGTATTTATATATAGAGATGTCTATTACCTACATATCTCTATATTTATATATCCATATATAGAGATATATAGGTATATATACATATGTATGTTTATATCTGTATGGATGTATCTATCTGAATGCCTAAACACACACAGAGACATACATACATATGTCTATGTCTTCATATCTATAGATATTGAGTTGTGAGCTATCAGAAGCTCAGTTTAAACAGTGGATGGGATACTAAAATAGCACATACAGCATTTCTCTATTAACCAGTATTAGATCAGAAAGAAATATAACCACTAATGTTCAGAAGAGTTTTCATTAAGGTCCATGAGTTTTCTCCATTTGATAATCTAATTTTCTGTTTTTTATTAAACAAAGATAACAGTTTCATCAAAGTGTTTTATTTTGTTTTCTTTTATTTACATTTTAGTACCAAGGTTAACTGATTATGGCAGAACCTTCAGTAGATGGAAATAGGTGTCCACTTAAATGGCACTGTAAACACCCTCAAATCATTAAATAAAGATATTTATTTGAAACAGAAATACTAAAAGAAAAAAAATCACCCAACATTATGGGGAAAATGATTGTTTATTATTGAATAGCAATATAACTGACATAAGGGATTGAAGGCAGTAAGCCAAGGGAAGGTGATTTATATCGCAATGTAGGTAAAATAAGCAGTCTACTGTTACTAGCGCAGTCTATTCTTTAGCATACCAAAGAAAGCAGTTCTAAGAGTCTGCGAATCACCAAAGTGTAGGTCTGGTTTTTTTTCTTTCTTTTTTTTTTCCATCTAATCTTCAGATTTTTTTTGTTTTTTTTTAAGATGTGGGCTACAATTCAGGATTAGGTATACAAGTGGTCATCGTACAGGTAAAATTTGGGCCGCCCTTTGATCCCGTTTTACCTGATTTGAGATCTGGTACCCTTACTGATGTTAGGCACCACCCCCACCCCGGCAGTATCCCGCTACTCTCAGTCCCTTTCTTATAGTGTTATATGGTTAATGTTCAAGTTTGGTTTATGAATGAGAACATGTGGTACTCTGTTCTTTGTTTCTGTGATAGATCACGGAGTATGATAGGCTCTAAAGCCATCCAAGTTGCTGCGAAGTCCATATGTTTGTCCTAGGTCAAACTCTCAAACTATTTCAAACTATCAAAAAGGGAAGGTTTTCATCAAGAAGAACTGCTTCCCTACACTTTTCTACCTAATATTTTATTTTTCTAGACAGTCTCTTCAGGTGAGAAAACAGAAGCAAATTAATTATTCAATGTTTGATAAGGTAATAATTTAGGATCATAATATGTTACCGAGTATGAAAATTCCACTCCCTGAGAATAAGGGCAATAGGACGCTACCGTTTATTTAGAACAATAAAAGAGCTATACACGGAATCTGAGTCTATGAAACTAATATTGTGCTTTGCACATGCCCAGCCTATTGTCAGCATCCCATTCTTTTTACCTAACATTTGCTGCCTGCGTGTTGCAATCTGGATTACAATCCAGGCGCGCTTGGCAGTGATTCTTGATAGGAGCTGCAGGAAACAGTTTGGATGGTTAAACTGCGACTCAGGGCTTTGCTCTGCAGTCCAGGGCTTGTCGTGGGCAACCCTGCTCCGTGCCGAAGAGGACCCAGCCTGCTGTCTGTCCCCGTGCTGGGCTCGAGCCTGTGCAGGTGGATGGAGCCAGGGGAGAGCGTGGTCTCGGGGCTGAGGAAAGCGGGTTTCCCGAGCCGTTACCGGTCCGCGCTGCCAGGGCATCCTCCGCGTCCTTCCATGGCTCTGAGGAAGACATTTTGTTGTTTATGGACCTTAGGTCTGTGTCTGGTAGTCGGTAAATCTTCCCTAGTCCCATCCATCACAGATCCGTACTTTATAGACAAATGCGTCAGTGCCCACAACGAATGGCGTGGCAAAGTCAGTCCCCCCGCGGCCAACATGAAATACATGGTAAGAAAGAGATGGGGCTGGGCTCCTAAATCTCTGGTTCATCCAAGGTATCTGGGTGGTAAATTTCATGGATTTACTTATCCTAATTCAGTCGGAACTTTATGCATGCGGTCAAAAATAAAAAGAAATTACAACTTGACTGGGCAGTCCCCTCCAGAGTAATGATGGCAGTAGATGAAAAAGGAAAACTTGAAGCTGTTCTTTGCCTAGAATTTGTTTTGGGGGCGGAAAAGTAAGAAAGGAGAAGTGGTGTTTGAAAGTTTTCATCATTGAGGTTGCATGTACTTCGCATAGATTTGCTTGTTTTCCCTAACTTTTTGGCTAATACTTCCCATCTCCACAACCAAAACACTTGGTACAAAAGAAATAGCACACAAAATTGTGAATAATGAAATAGGCACTTGAACAATATCAGATGATCATTTTCATGACATCGAACTGGTTGTGTCTTTTGTAGACTGCCATCATATAAAAAGAAGGCAGAGTATTATATTGAAGAATATGCATAAAGAACACTATATTATTAAAATAATCTATAGAATTTTCAAATTTTTAACAAATTCCTATGAATTGTATTATTGGAAATTTCTCTTGCATTATAACTTTTTCTTGTTTGTCAGTATGATATCATTATGAATATGAATGCTGATAGTACTAGAAAATTTTATGTAGTATGCAGATGTAGCTATAGTATAACTCATATGTAGCCCAACTTCCTTCCTTTCTATTCAACAGAAAATAAAGTGGAAGCAATTATAAAGTCACAACTCAAGCAGGAAAATAAATTCAAAATATACTATTCTACTGTATGGGAAAATGATATTTTGAGGAATAGAGAGTTTCAAACAGGTTTGGGATATAAAAATAAAAAAACTGATCTCTTTAATGCAGAATTGTTTAATTATTTTATTATGTAATATTTACCTTAATCTCCAAGTTGGGGCAGTCCCGGACATGAATGAAGTAGAAATAAATGTTAAACTGAATTCAGAAATGCTAATGTTAGTAGTGATATTGGCTATGTTTTCTGAAAAAATATCATTGTAATTGTGGGGTTAAATATAATAAATTTACTTCCTATTTCTTTTATAGAATTTACTACTTAAAGCAAATGTAAAAATAATGTATTGTGGATCTTATAATGATGTAGAAGCAAAATACTTTACAGCCAAAGCACAAAGAATGGAGTGAGGTGTTTATAGAATTATTCTATTAAAAGTTCCTAACATTGTTAAGAGTTATAACAATATTTCTAGGTGTACTATGAGAAGTTAAGCATGCAGACTTTAATATCTAAAGTAACCACTAAAAAATACAAAGAGGTAGAGCTAAAAATCCAATAAGTAAAATACTAAAAGTTATTGATTAATTTGTGGACGAAATTCAGGAAGAAAGGAACAAACAATAGAGAGACAAATCAGAAAATAGCAAATGGTAAAAAAAAGTAACTATATGAATTATATTAAATGCGAATGGCTACACACTCCAGTTAAAAGTATAAATTATAAGATTGGATGAATGATTTTAATTTACACGTCACAGGATCAGTGTAAAAATGGGAAAATATATCATGCAAACTTTAAAGACAGTTAAGGTAGAGTATTTGTATCTGACAAAGTCAATTTTAAGAAAAAGTATTATCAGAAGGAAAGGGGGACATTTGAGAATAATAAAAGGGCCATATCAACAAAAGGCACAACAATCTTTAATGCAAATAAATGTAATAACATATTTTAATATACAAAAATTGGCAAAAGGAAAAAGAGACAAGACAGATAGATTTTGATCTGGATGAATAAAAGAACAAGTAGGTAAAAATAAGGGGGAAAAAAAGATTTGAACAGCATCAAATAACTGTACTAATGGCATTAAACAGTTTATCCCACAGTGCAAAATACACTTTCTTCTCAAGTGTACATGGGACACTCATCAATTTAAATCATATGATGAACCCTAAAACAAGTCTCAATTCATTTCAAATGATTGAAATTTTATCTAGATTTTTCTGGAAAAACTAGAATACAGCTAGAAATAAGGTGTGCAAAATATCCCAAAATGTAAAATTAAGCAATACATATCGTAATAACCAAAGAAGAAATAACAGATATTTCTGTATTTTATATTTGAATGTTCATGAAAATTTTCATTTGTGAGATGCATCAAAAGTTGTGGATCATGTAGCAAAAGCAGTGCTAAGAAGAGTATGTATAGCTTTAAACGAATATTTTAGTAAAAAACAAAAGTTAGCAATCAAGATCTAGAGTTTCAGTTTAGGAGCTTGGAAATAAATGTAAATTAAACACAAAAAAAGCAAATGAAAAAACATAAAAATGAACAGAATTTAATATAATAGAAATAGAGGTACAGGGATTAAAAACTGATAATGTCAAAAGTTGTTTTAAAAATTATAAATTTATATAATAAAATTGTCACACCACTAACCAAAGAAGAAAAAGTCAATGAACGGAGAGACAACCCAAAAATCAATTTTAAGAATGGAAAAAAAAAAATCACCAAAAACACTTCAAACATTAAATAGAGGACATTTTGAACACTCTTATGCCAGTAAACTTAACAACATAGAGAAAATAAACGGACAAATTTTACGAAAAACAAAATTTTATAAAATTAACAATATTTTTAATTTATTGTTTAGTGAAAGATGACTAACAAATGCTAGTTTTAATGTATAATCATTTTTACATATGTTTACATCAGCGACTCTACTGTCTAAATCAAGATTGAAATTTTTATTTTATATATGACTGCCATGTTATTTATCATATAATATCTCATAAATGTTACATTCTCTACTAGATATTTTGTAAGTATAAAATAACATATTAAATGCTTGAAATTTGTCTAATACAATGTTGCTTCCTGTTTTTATTTCTTTGATTTATTATTCCTATTTTTTTTAACTCTTATATCTTTTGTCTTGTACAAATGAAAGAATCCTGGGTTAGAGACAGATTTTTTAACCCAAAATAAACTTTTTAATAGGAATACTTAACCAATTTATGAGTGCAAAAATTCTGTCCCTTCATTAATCTGTATATTCTTATACCAGTTGCATAAATTCAATGTGAAATTTAAAATATTCTTACACAGAACATTTAGGATCAGATGGCTACACTCGTGAATTCAAAGGAAAAAGCAATACCAATCTAACATAAATTCCTTCAGTAATTTGAAAAAGGGGACATTTTTAAAATTTGTTTATGAGTCTTGGCAGGTATGGTGGCTCACCCCTGTAATCGCAGTACTTTGGGAGACTGAGATGGGAGGATTACTTGAGCCTAGGAATTCGAGAACAGCCTCAGCAATGTAGCAAAACTGATCACTACAAAATAAAAGATAAAAAGTAAAAAAATTAGCCAGGCATGGTGACACGTGCTGTAGTCCCAGCTACTTGGGAGGCTGAAGCAGAAGTATCATTAAGCCCGGAAGGTCAAGGCTGCAGTGAACCATGATCGTGTCACTGCACTCCAGCCTGGGCAACAGAGTGAATTCTGACTCAAAAAAATATATAAATAATAAAGAAAGAAAGAATAACTGAAACTATCCATTAAAATTAAAAAGCAAAGTTATAATATATTGATATCATTTTCATACCTTAAATATCTTTAACTGTCTTACATTTTTATAAATATAAAATTATTCACCATTCTCATGTGCATGTCCATCTAGTGGCCAAAAATTGTTACAATGGCAAAATGTCCCTCAAAGGGGAACATGAAGAAAAGTAAAGAAATGGATCCTCAGTAGTACTGGCAAAAACAATATCCTATTATAAAAGAATCTTCTGCTTTATGAAAAAATACTTTTTATGCTTTTATGCCTAAGGGCTTCTATATTTAAAATCCTCATTGGACTCAAACAGTGTCTGTCTCCAATATCATCAGCAATAATATTCACAAACCTATTTGTCATTCAGATGCAGACACTTTTGTATATAAAGATGTGATCAAGCGACATACATGTAGTGTTGTGAGTCAGACTGTACCAGTGCTACAGTTAGAATTAGGATCTTTTGTATTATAATACATTTTGTGTGTGTGTGTGTGTGTGTGTGTGTGTGTGTGTGTGTGTGTGTGTGTGTGTATGTAATACGTGATGGACTATAAAGTCTAGGACCAGAGCACAAATCCTTTCTTCCTAGGTCTCAGGGTGATATGAGTCTAGATTTTCATCATGGCTGCATTCTACTCCTAGGATTAAGTTTTATAAGAGGCTAGGCTAGGCTGTGATATTAAAAAACAAAAACCAAAACTGAGATCTCAGTGGCAAAGTTTAATTTCTTACACAGGTTGTGGAGAAGGTGAGTTAGGATTCAATCTCTCTTATTGGGAGAAGATGGAGCCCCCAATCCCAGCTAGCTCATTAATAGGAAATATAACAAGAACTTTCAAGTTCACTCACTAGATAACTTCTTTACCAATATGAAGAAGAAAAGAGTACCCACTAATAATCTTGTCTTTTTAAATTAAGAGATTTAGCATTATTTTACTTCTTATTCTTAATTTTTGTTGAATTAACATGACATATATTGTGTTGCTTTTTTTAAATGTTTTTATTTTTAATATGTGGGATACAATTCAGGTTTAGATATACAAATGTTCCTTATGCAGGTACCCTTGTTGATGAGGTGTGCCCCATCATAAGGAACATTCCCCTTCCCCTGGCATTTTCCCACTACTGCCAATCCCTTTCCTATAGTTGTTCAAGGTCCACTTATGAACATGTGATACTCGATTTTTTTGTTTCTGTGATAGATCACTCAGTATTATAGCCTCTAAGTCCTTCCAAGTGGCCGTGAAGTTTGTAATTTTGTCCGTCTTTATGGCTGCATAATATTCCATCGTGTATGTGCACCACATTTTTTTTTTTTAATCCAATCCTGTTTTGGTGGACAGCATGGTTGGTTCCATGATTTTGCTATTGTAAATAATGCTGCAGTACACATGCATGTGCAGGTATCTTTTTCATAGACTGATTTT